ATCATTTTGAGTAAAAATAATATTCCTTCTAAAACATTATTTTCAAAAGTGTTACAAAAAAAAAAAAAAAAAAAAAAGCATTTAACTATCCCTACACAATGTCCTCAAGGTAAACCTGAAAACATTTTGTAGTAAATGATGAACAAAAATGAAAAATACGCCATTTTCATGAAAAATGGAACACAAAAATGGAATTTTCCCTAAGCATGGCATTATCTTACGTAAAGTAGTAACTTGAGATTCTATAACAGAGCAAAGCTATCACAAAGTATAGAGCAGAATAGGTACATGACATTTCCCATGTCATATTATAGTCAAGGAATCCAATAAAGCTAATATCACTAAAAAATATTCCACATACCAGTTAAGTCTAACATACTCAAAATCCAATTTTCTCTTTAAGGACAGCAAATTTACAAGGAACGGAATCTTATAAGGAATGGAATCAGGGCAATTTTAAAAAGTTTTTACCAAAAAATGTTCTAACAGTCAGGAAAGATGAAGTCTAAGCCAATACAGTTCAATTTGGGATAATAAATGCCATGACCTATACTATAAGATTCAAGGTAGAGTCTCCTAGGACATTGTATAGCTTTCAGACCACTATTATTGATTTTTTTACTGTATGTATGCTACAAGTAGCATGCTTGGCCATGGTGTATAGCTGTGGCATTACATGTATATTGGAGACTTCGTTTTCTTTATCTCTTTTCTCCTTGAATGATAGGACTTAGTGTTATTCTTTGTAAATTACTTTGTTTAATTAATAAACTTGATATATTAATTCAGCTTTCCCTCAATTTCTGCCTTTTTCATTGATTTGGGTTTCTCTTTTTTCTGCGATACCCCTTTGTTTGTTTAGCTCTTCAATGTTTATAAAAAGAAACTGCTAAATATAAGTCAAATCTATTTGTTTTTTATCTCTTTTGTTTCAATAAATATTTCAAACCTGTTGAATATATTATACACAAAGTTGACCATTTACAAGTATGTTAAAACTGAAAAAAGGATATAATCTCCATAGGATGCACCACCAAAAATAAACAAACCAAAATTCGGCCAAGTATGAATAATACAACTCTGTTAAATTTTAAAGCATATAATATCAAGCAGACCACAGTGGAATAAAATAATCCAATAATCAAAGTAAGACACACAAGCACTTTGGCATCATGAAAAGGGAGAGATGACCCCAGACCAAAGTATCTATTCTTTATATGAGGTAGACAAGAAAATCCACTTTCATGTTTTTGACAGACCACATGCCAGCTGAGAAGTATAATTTTTTCATGTACAGCTTGCTTTGGAGTGGAACACTACAGTTCAGACAAAAATATACTTGCAAAGTCAATTAATGAACAGGAAAAGGAGGATATTTTTTGCTTGTGAAACCAAAAGGCAAACAAATATTATTAGTTGCTTTTGGCAGGAATGCAGCTTTATTTGGGATAAAACGCAGTAAGCCGAGGGTGTTCAAATCAAAAGAAGATGCACAAGAGGGTTGGTTTGATGTTAAATTCAACAAACATTGACTTACAATATACATCACCAAATGACAGTATTGCTCATTGCACTTACATCATTATTAACACGGTACATTTGATGAGTTATCAACATCAATTTATTAACTTAAAGGTACAATCAGTTATAGCACCTTTGGTTTAGCACTGTTGACACCTGCAATAATTTTGTTTCTTCTAAAATGACCTTATTTTCACAAAGACATTAAGGCATTCTTGCAAACACCCATTTTTTTATCAGACTCATTGCATTTGTTTTTTTTTTAAAGACAATTATACTATGCAACCACTTAGAAGTATGACATTTAAACATAATTTCATTGGATAAAAAAATATCAATGTTGCAAAGATGTTGATTTCTGGATCTACTTGGTTTCAAACAAAGTCAACTGAAAAAACTTGTAATTAATATTCCTCAACCCCTCCCTACCCTTTTCTTAGAGGTTTAAGAAATGAAAAACAGTTATGTGAAAGATTTCATGGCGACATATTGTTTCTGGTTCTCAAGTTATCAATTTTTGGAGTTTTCTTCAGATGACCCCTGTGACCTTGAAAGTAGGTTAAGATGAACTACTTACACATAACAGAATCCCACGAGGCTTACAATTGAAGTTTTTTAAACATATAGGTGAAAAGAAAATGGTGATAGAAATGCAAGGGTGTGACAGGCCTGTAGCCAGCAGTTTCAAAGGGGGGGGGGGAGTCTTTTTCTGAACAAGTGGACCTTTTACCATGAAACCTTTGACCTTTGTCAGGGGCGGATCCAGAAATATTTTCTGACAGTCTTCCAAATCATCTTTGTTGATCCATCCTCCATTTCTGACCGTCTTCCGACAGATTAAAATTAGATACCCGTCCGTGTAAATCTGACCGTCTTCCGGAAGACCCAGAAGACGCCCTAAATCTGCCCCTGTTTGTGTACCTACAGTAGATCATTTTTTACCCAGCATGGACTGTTTCATTTGCCCCATCCCCACCTGAACACCCCTGGATAAGAGCCTATCTTATATGAAATAGGTCCCCTGGAATAAACTGAAATCCCCGGGGGTTGGTCATACCAAATGTGTGTGTGTGCAAGCAGAAGACCAAGTTGCAATCAAAGTTACCAACACAAAAAATGAAAAGAAAAAGAATTGAGACAATGAGATCTTTCTATGTCATTGGCACTGAATGAAGTAAGTTTTAAGAGTGAGCTTGAAATGATTTTGCAGGCAGACTGACTGACAACCTACTACTGATTACCCCCCCCCCTCCCTCCCCCAATGTATATCATCATTCTCCTGTTACCTATATTCAAACAGACAGAGTCCAGTGCAGTAAAACCCCTTGAGTATACAACTAAATATGGGATAACTACAAAAATCTGGTTTCATTTAGTTTTCCTTGTTTTATTTTCATGAGGCATTAAAAAAACCTGCACATATACTTTAATGCATTATGTAATTAATGAAGGTATTATGTCAGAGGCATACTGCTATGAAAGTTGTTAAATCCATCCCCTTCTAACAATCAAGGAGTTAGGCCTGTAGGCAAGGGAGTTTAAGGGATTGAAGGAACCGCCCCTTGGTTGGAAAAAGA